TTTCGTGTGCAGCTCCTGCTCCAAGCCCCTAGCAGGGACCAGTTTCACCAACCACCAGGACCAGGTGTTCTGTGTGGACTGCTACAAGACCTCCGTGGCAAAGAAATGCAGCGGCTGCCAAAACCCCATCACAGGTGACTGAAACTGAGGATTATGTTTCAGTTAAATAAAATATAGATGAACTACGATTACAGCTTGTATGCCTCCGACAACCAGTCATGTTTCAGGTTACATCCATGTCTTTCCGAAAAGCCATCATTTTATTCTTTAAAATCTTAAATTATGGCCATAATATATGTTGTGTTTAAGAGGACCTATGACCTTCAAAATATAATAATTTAATCCTTTAGTCCAACTAGACGTTTGAAGATATGACCTAAGATATTTTCCTAAGATATCATGTTCATTGGGACTTTAGACTAAACGAAAAACCTTTGTTGCCAGAGATGCATAATAATATTCTGTCCCCTCTCTCAGGTTTTGGTAAAGGAGTGAACGTGGTGAACTACGAGGGCAGCTCCTGGCACGAATACTGCTTCAACTGTAAGAGATGCTCCCTCAGTCTGTCCAACAAGCGCTTCGTGGCCAAAGGGGGAGACATCCTCTGCGCCGACTGCAGCGAAAAGTAGAGCTGGAGAACGCTGTCTTTTTCTAACCGTGGTTTATAAAGTCCTTTTATATTTCTTTATTTTTACATTAAAGCCAGAGTCCCCATTTCAATATTATGTTTATTATTAAAGTGACCTTTTGGCAGATTATGACAGAAACGTTGGGACAAATTGTGATTTGTATCCATTGTTGATTGTTTGCTGCATGCTAATACATGATTAGCCACCTGCAGCTAAAGTAAATTAGCAGCAGATACATTCCTGACTTACCTGAGATCTTCAAAGTAGATCTAATGATGCTGTATTTGAGTCTGCCGGTCTTAAGAAACATGTTATTAGTTTTTTATCTCAGCTGATGGTTGTGAAAGTTGATACTTTCCCCTCAACACAGTGTATGCTAGCCTATTAGCATAAAGCTAGATGGTAACGTGATTTTTAAAGCTTTTTAAATGTATTCTTCATCTTTTTTAAGCACAAAAACACCTGCTTTTGATAATGTCAAAAATGTGATATTTTCCTATGATCAAAGTGGTTTTAAATAATCAAAATTAATTTCTATATTTGTAATTGCTCATTTACAATGCATTGCTATGCTTATTGTGTGTTTGAATAAAAATAAACGTGTATGCACTTTTCTTAACCATTCTCCCTTCAAGGAAAGAGGAAATATAAGTATGAAATTGGATCATATAATTGTATGCCTTGTTATGTTGCTAAAATGAAATAAACTTTCTAAAAAAACAAACCGCTAAACATTTCACACATTATTTTGCCAGGATTACCATGTTACAACTAATGTACTCAAGATAAAGATGAAAGGACTTTTATGCCAATCTCAAATATCCATTTATAGGACAACTGTATATAGTTATATAAAATTTGACCTCTGCGCAAACAACAATTAATATTTTCCTCTATTCCACAAAGTCAAACTGATTTAATTTCAACATATAGAAAACCGGAGGAAATACTTAAACTGTTGCCAACTCTTCTGCTCTTTCTGCCAAATCTGAACAAATTAGATTTTTCTTACACATGGTCTGGGAATGTGAAATCAGTAAAGGAGGAGAATCTAGATTGCTGGCTGCACCCGAAACAAAGAAAACTCCTCTGTATATCAACAATAAGGAAGACACAACAAGAGTTAAGTCTCAGCGTTTGGAGACATCACATACTTTCAACATAATCCGTGCAGTGCCTCAAGAGCCCAGCGCCTACAGTAAGTGGTTAAATGTAATGTTTGATCTGGGGTTGGGGATTAAGGGTTGTTTGGAAAGGCAATATTCTGGGTGGGTGTGGGCTAAAAATGGGAAACGGAAAATCCATTATTTAAATATTATTAACATATGTTAAAAAAGGAAGTGTTTTTATGCCTCTGTTCTGTTTCCCCTTTCTTTCCTCTTTTAAAATGTAGATCTCATCGAGTTTCTTCATAATGAAATATGCTCTATGAATAAAGCTGACTTTATGATGTTTTTTCTAAAAGCGTTCGGACAGAAATTATTTAATAATTATATATTATATAATTATAGTTTACAAAAAATCTTTGAAAGACTGATGGCATTCTTAATGTCACTCATTGAACACAGATAGTGAACATAGCACACACAAACACAGCGACATGTACCACCACTTATAAGTTGTTGACACAAAGCAGTGCATGTCTGTCAAAACTAAAGTAAATCATATTTAAAGTAAAATCATATTTTTTTTAATTGGCAAGATGATATTCATTCAATATGTACATAACCATCTCCTCCCCTCTAGCTCTCTCACCTGCACACAGGTACAGACCCACAAAAGAACACAAGTGGACCAATCACAGCATCAATACACCGCTCTCGCTCCACACACACACACTCATACCCTCCTTGTTTGCAGAGACAGGTTTGTGCTTCATCCGTCTGCTTTGAAGCAGCGTGCATAATCTCTGCTATATCTCCAGAGTCTGGAACAGGATTTAGAGATTTCCTTTGCTCTCAGGGCTATTTCATTTATGCAGGTAAGTACTTCATTCATTTTTGTCTAGGCTTGAACATTGTTTTAAGACAAGTGTATTGCACTTGTTAAATGTTTCGGTGAGGAAATCTTGAAAATGTAAACTTGAAATTTCAAAAAGTAGTTAATTATTAATGAGCATAGTGTTAAATATCTCACATTTTTGTTTAACTTGCTTTATTCACGTAATATGCAAAGATACTAAGATATAAGAAAAAATACTGATTGGGTTAAAACCTCTTTTCTTTCTAGATTTGTGATGACTTTCCTTCAAAGATTCCTGGATGTGTTTATCACTCTGTCTCTGCTGAACAGTGTGGAGCAAGGTAGGTCAATGTTTTAAATAGATTTGACTTGATAAATGATAGAAAATAAACTGCATTCTGGCCCATAAAATACAAATACATTTTGTAATGTCTCTAAATTGTAACATTTTAATTTGATATACTTGCAAAATTATTGATTCTTTTTTGGGTAATACCCACATGGTTGAAAGCACTTATTTTAATAGACGATCAAAGTCAGGTATATACATATTTTGTAATGTATTGATTAAAACTTCTAAAGATTGGCGGGGAGGATCACAATAGATTTAATAATAATTTTAAATATGGTTATACAAGAATAAGACGATACATGGACTGGCCCCCCCTCCCTTAGGGGAATTCATCCACAAAAAACCCACTGGACGCTGCACTAGGTCAGAAACCAGAGGAGACTGTGAGGTCAACCGCAGATGGACCACTTTTGGACTAAATGTCCTCTCCATTAAGGGCAGCTCTTTCTGGAATAGCCTCCCAACTGAGATACGGGATTGTCCCACTCTCAATAGTTTTAAAGGTCAACTAAAAGAATGGTTGAGAAACAAACAGACGTGCAATCACCGCTAAATGCACTTTAATACAGGGGTATCTCCTCTTGCACTTTAAGTAGCTCTTGTATCCTCTCTTGCAATTTATATGTCGTTGCTGCTATAGTGTACTGCCACGTGGTAAATATTTGTGTATGCTGCTATTGCTCTTTTGCACTTTTTGCATATCATGTATTTGTTTTTGCTATGTGTATAATTGTCATGTTCTTAAATGTTTTATGTGAGGGATTGCGGATGGAAATGAGCTCCAAGCTAAAATCCGGCATATTTACACTATTTGCATTTTTAGTTTTAAGTGTTCATTAATGTGCATTGTCCCTGCTAAATAAACGATTAAATGAAATGACAATTGAAATAATTTGACTTGTTTCAGCGATAGAAGACTGTGTCTCACTCTAAACTCAGTGTTTGTTATCTTTTGGATTACAGCATCCGTGCGAAAGTCACTGTGTTGATTGTAAATATGTCTGGAATATTTAAAGCAAACAGTAGTCAAACTATGTACTTCTATATAGTATATAGTGCATGTATGAAAGGTCAAAAGCTTGAAGCCAATGTGAGAAGTTAAAGCAAACGTTAAACACTCGCTGTTTCCTGTTTTTTATTTACATTAGTTTCTATGGGTTTAGGTCTGACAGGACAATAAATTAAAAAGATACCAGCTTGGACTTTGAGAAACTGGGATGGACATTTTTACTGCTACTTTTCATTTTAGTATTTCAAGATTAATCACTTTTTTTTTTTAAATAATTGGCAGATTAATGTAAAATGAAAATAATCACAAATAAGTAGGCTCTGCAAAATGCTATTTAATATATTTTAACCTATATTATTAAGAAATAAATCATAAAAGCAACCAAATCACTTACTTGTTTTTTAAAATAATAGTTTGTTGCTGGGTTAATATATATACCGACTTTAAACTCCAAGGTTTCATTCAAATCTAGCTAGCTGTGTACAGATCAACAGTACTGATTTAACATTGCACTGGCATAATAATGTCAAACTAAAAATTGATATTTTTTGATATTTTGTACTGATCAAAAACAATGTAGCAGAACCAGATATATTGTCTTTCTACCCATCTTCTTTCTTATCAAAAACAGCTGCCTGGCAAAAAGCCGCTTCAGAGATAAAACACTTAAACCGTCACAGCTGCTCTTCAGATCTCATGTGCTGCACGTTAATGATTCACTGTGTTTTCTCTGTTTCTGTCAGTCTCTGGGCTCAGTCTATGGGGGGAGGAGGTTCAATTCACAACCGTGTGCAGCAACTGGACACTAAAGCCTCAGGTCTCCATCCCCCCCCTGCAGGAGCTCACCGTCTGCCTGAACCTAAACTTTGAGGTACTGACGATGAAATAAGTCTAATTACATTGCTACGGTACACCTTTGAGGGGCACATTTAGAAGACTACACGTTATTAGAATAACATATTATCTTTTAACGACCATATCTAGACCGAAGAGGCCGCCTCTTCATGGACCGCCTTCATGTACAGCCACCCTGAGTTCCAGACAGAGCTGGGCTTAGGGATGAAGGAGCGTCGCTTATTGGTCTGGTTGTTTGGATCTGAGTGGTCGTCTACGCATAGTATCATCCTTCATAGGTCACAATGGTACTCGATGTGCCTGACCTGGAAACATAAAGGCAGACTGGCCCTGTACATTGATGGCCAGCAGAAGATAATCACAACAGGTGGGTTTAGTATTAAACGACTGGGTTACAAGGAAGGAGGGCTTGACACAACATATTCATTGCCAATACACAACCTTGATCAGCCGATACCAATCCAATACCGTCTCTTTCCCTCTCAACTAAGCTGTTAATATTACTATTGTTTGAATGCACTTGGCTTACCCCAGCTATCTAAAACTGTCATGCTCAAACTGTTAAAGAATACTTTAGGCCACTAAAGGAAAAAATAAACAGCCCACAATAATAATGCTGCTTCTTTTTATTCAAACTTTCACCCCACCCTAAATCGACTTTTAGCCGCATTTTGGAATTTCCAAGCACCATTCAAACATTCAAAAGAGGAATTTAAATTGCAAAAGCTTAAGTTCGAGTATTTAGAATAACTGAGGAATTATAATTCCAATGTCAGATACAGGATACGTCTAAAAGCTCAATATAACCTCAAGGACAGTCATTGACAGATAGTTTAAGCCAATGGTTCATATCCGATTTCCCTTTTTTAACACTCTAATATCCAATCAAGTGATTTCGGCCAGTATACAGAGTTTCATCAAGTGTGTTCCATCAACCCTACATGACAGGACGCTAGATGCCCAAAAATGTGTTTTCTTCTCCTCTCTCACGATGTAGATACTCCCTCCCTTTCCCGCAAACTGTCCCCCAATGGGACGCTTACTCTCGGTGCGTCCCGCAGCGTGGTCAACGGTATTACATTTCCTGCTCTGGTGGGCAAATTATCTCTGTTTCGGCTATGGGGGCGAGAACGCAGCAAACAGGATGTGACATCACTGAGATGCACAGAGGGGGACGTTGTGAAGTGGGCGAGAGACAACTGGGACACCCCGGTCTGTGATGTGTTTTCAAATTCCAGCCTGGAGTGTGGTGAGTCCTCTACTTTAACTGAAATATGTTTCTTCAGTTTTGTGTGAAATGATATCAACCCTACGCTAACCTCAGCACCTGCAAGTCGCAACAAAATTGATATTTTCGCCCTTGGGTGCGTCCCACAGTGTTTACAACAGACAGTGGTTCACTTTAATGCGGTAAATCACCTGTCAGTTTCTTCAAGCGTTTTACAGCTTCGTCCAACCGTGGCTGCCTTTGGTTTACAGTGTGTCCTCAGCCCTCAGATTAAATATTGACCCCCTGTCTCTTTGTTAGTTAAGTAAATATTGAAGCCATTCTGTGATCAATAACACTAAAATCAGAAGCATTAATCATACAGCTGTCATACGTTGTTATTTTCACTCTGCTAGGCAGGAACCTGCACTCATTTTCAACATGCGAGTCCTGAAATGCTGATATTCATTAACCTTTTTTAACTAAATAACCTTTTTTTTTGTAAATCACCGATTATAATTCTTTAGCCAGAAAAAGCTATTAACCTGTCAGAATTACACAAATCTTCATTTTCATTTTATTAAAGTATTAATTAAGTTCAGTAGGATCAGTCATGTACACCGCATTAAAAAAGGGTAACAAAGACAATCTACAGACTAAAGATAAATATCTGACTCATTTGAATACAGAGGTTATATCAGGAAAGTTTATACCGTTGATACTATCAATAACGGGACGAAGTAGTTCTGCATCAATTGTTTCAGTATAAGCGCGATTTATTGCAGTCTTGAGTTCTGCTTCGGAATTTTTAACCATACTTGATATTCATAATTCCCTTGTGCATATGTTTTAATAGTTACTGTTTGTCCTTTACTTTTTCTTGACTTACATTTACATAATGGTGTTTTGTATTCTCCGATTGGCAGAATGGTCCGTGTACGAAGTGAGACTGATGTTTCTCATCATGCGCTCCGATGGGAAAAACAACACAGAGCTCTACACGGCCAGAGACATCGCACATACCTGGGTAAAGAAACAAAGGAGGAACCTCAAAGAAATATTTTACTACCTGACCTACAGATATTCCGGATGACTTTCTATAAACACTGTAATTGTTTATTCTCACTGTTGCTTTCATGGTGTTGTTCCTGCAGCTCAGAACGGTTCTGCCGATCACCTTCTTCCTAAACAGAGTGTCCGTGTTCGAAGTACCCAGGTATGAGAAGATTGGAGTTGTCTCAGTGTATTTTGTAATAAAATATCTACCAATGTCATGTTGTGTCCCGTCAATGAAACCCTATTTTATAGTATACGACGGAGAGGTGGAACCAATGGGAGTTTTTGTGATCTTTTTCGCAGATCCAGGAAAAACAACAGCTTTGTGAATGAAAACAAGCTGGTAAGAAGCACATTAAAGCCTACACATTGATAAAAGCATTAGAACACTGTATGTGCTCTTTGGTGGTGCTAGTAATGGTTTGTTGACCAATTCTCAGTTCAATTTTATTAATATCGCCAAATATAACAAATCACATATTTGCACTATGAGGCAATATTGGCCAATAAATTGTTATTAAGTAATTTAAAAACTATGATATTTGTATTACCCTCCAAACTCCATTATCACTTAGGCTCTAAGCATATAGGAATTTTCTCAGTGGTGATATTTAGTAAACCTTTGAAATCTATGTGTCTTTTATTCTTCAGGTGCGGTGGTCTCCCTCTTCCAAAAGGTAATATGGTCCAGGGTTACTGTTTCACACAATGATTTATTTTTTAAATATTATATAATCGGATAATGGTTTGGCATTAAGAAAGTCAACTATAGGGGGCAGGATATAATTATAGATCAAATAGTGTTCCTTTAATTATACGATATATCTATCTGCAACGTAACATATTATTGTAATTATGTTTCTTTTAAGTTTATCTAAATAGCTTCTTAAAACTTTTAATTAATCACATTTGTATTTCAATAAATCTGCTGGTCTGAATCTTGTACAGTGAGGCAGAATAAACTTAAGAGAAGTAAGACTGAGTAGAAAATGACAGTAAATCAAGGCAGAAAGTAATCAGTACTTGCAATGAGTAAAATAAAAACAGTCATTGGTTAAACTGCTTGTGAATTATGTCCAAACTAAGACCGTAACATATGGATTCATTTCAAGGGATCAAAAGCCTAAAATAGGTTAACCACCGCAGCAGAGGACAGTATAAACCCTTGATGTCTCCCCTGCAGGTTTGACTGCCTGGTTCATATCAACGTTATCCCCAAGCTGAACGTGGCAACCGTGAAAAATATGATCCCCACAGAACTGAGGAGCATCTACTACGACCCCAAAGAGAATCTCCAGCTGCAGGCTGATTGTGACAGCATACACACCACACCTGTTGGTAGGAAATCACACTCTCCCATGTGTATGTTTTGCAGATTAAGTCCTTCTGGTTCACAATTATCATTCCTCTGTTTCTAGAAAGTTTCTCCGCTGTTACCATGAGTCCTTCTGGAGAGGTAACAGAATCCTCTCCAGTCACAACCACCACATTTAAAACCACAACATCCATTAAAACGACTAGCACCCCCACAAGTGTCCCTACCACTGTAGCTCCAGTCACAACCTTGAATACAACAACCCCGGCAAATGTCTCTGGTCAGTCCGATTATCAGTTTTGTGTGGATTATTACATTATTGTATTAGTTGTACCCTACAGGATACCTAATTGTTTCTTTTGTTTGGATCTCCTCTTCAGAGCTGTATTTTGAGGTTAAGATGAATATTACCCTAACAGGAGACTCTGACCCAGGACAGACTGTTTCCACCTGGGTAGGTCTGATGATAAAAAGGTTCTTCAGGTCTGAGTAATATTGATTAGTTGTTAATGTAACATTTGACTCTCCACAGCTTAACTCCAGTCTACCAGATGACATGATGATGGTGCTTGACCTCCAGCTGCTCCCCAAAACTCAAAGGTACAGTATGGGATGTACAGTAGCTGCCAGAACATTAACTCAACATCCTATTCCAGAAAAATGTAAATCACTGATTTCACTTTCAGGCATCAGCATAAACTGCAATCCACTGCTAACAAAGTAAGTAACCATAAAAAGATCTAGTCACAATTAAAACTTTAAATATATGACATCTTTTGCATGATCTTTGAGACTATTTTTCTATATAAGAACTACACAAATATGCTGGTAGGCAAACTTGATATTTGAAATAGTTTTCTCTATCCTAAAAAGGTATCAATTTAGAAAAATGTAACAAGACAATGAGATAAATTAGAACAAATATAGCAAGATGAATACATTTCACAGGATTTGAAGCCTGATTTTACAATTGGTATTACGCAGGGTGGAATTTATTTAACGAATATGCAATTATTAACATTTTTGTAACCATTGTATGTTCTGTCTTGAACTGCCATTTGTTTATAAAGCTGTGTAAATATTTGTATTCTTTTTGCCAGGTGTTTGGGCCCAGCATTTCAAGGTATGGATATTGAGGCTCTCCACAATTTCACCTAGATTTTGGACAAATGAAACCAAAGGAAAAGGAATACAGTAAATGTGGTGGAAGATATACAATGAGTTGATCACTAAACTGTATCAGTGCTTTCTTTCTCACCTTGCATCCTAATTTGTGGGGTTCAATTTAGATTTTCAATGAATTTTAAGGATTTATACACCAAATGTACCCGGAATGTTTTACTACATGATAAATCATAATAGGACAAAAAGAGCGTTTTGCATAACACATTGAACTTCTACTGTCTGCAGAGAGAGCTGTATTTTCCAGGTTTTGGTCATGATGTCGCAGTTGAACACACAGGAAATAAAAACACAGATACGACACCTACTGCTGACGCCCTACATCAACGAATTGATCTCCATAGAAATTGAGGACATACAGATAAGCCGCATATGTGAGTGAGGTTCAATAAAGGTTACAGAGCATATCGTTTAAAAGAGGAATACAATTACATTCTATAAGAAAAGACTATCCTCTCCTTCTCTTTTTCTGTCTCTCTGTTGTAGTGATAACTAAGTGCAACGCAGAAAGCCACCTGACGATGAAAGGCCTGTTTGTGTGGCCAGACACTCCAGGAGGAAAAAATGCATCTCAGCCGTGCCCAAAAAACCCTCTATGCCACGCCAGACGACACTGGTGAGCGCTAAGACAGTTGATTCATCTCTGATACCAAGCCATTACCAGTTATAATCAGAGGTGACGATATGCTCCTTTGGCGGCTTCTATCTATTTGGTTTCATTTAAAATGTAATTTATTTTGTTACAGCACTGTTGGTAGTACAATTTTTCATTTCAAACCTTTATTTAACCAGATTGGTCCCATTGAGATCATAGATCTCTTTTTCAAGGGAGACCTGCAAAGGAAATAATAAAAGCAAAGGAAAGACATCTTTGGTCTCTGACTAATTGTGATGGACATTTTCTACAATATTTTCACAATTAATAAAGCCGAAGATAATGATGAACAATGAATCAAATCTCACTAAAGATAACTGTTAGTTTTAGAGCTAATTACAATTTCACACTAAAATAGAAGCACTGTCACTTATCTGATGTGCTGCTGAATCCATACTTAAAAAGGTTTTCGTCATGGCAGTGACATACAGCAATATTGTATGAGAGGATTGACACACACTTAGCGCCAAAGATTTGATCACTGAGGTTTGACCAATATCAGTATTTTTCAAGCTAAGCCTTTTCTTCTGTCAACTGCAAGTAACTGACTTCTAACCTAAGAAAGACAAATGAATATATACAATGGTTATATCAAATGTGCAGGTAAATTGACATTTTCACGGTATATGTTTCCTGTGGAGCTGGCAGCTTCTTTTTTAAGCTCTATACTATGCATCGTGTCTTCTCTGCTTACAACTGTCACTTATCACTGAACTCATGACCTGCAGACCCTTTATCATGCAGGCACGCTGAGAAAAGGCTAAATGTGTTTAGCTGGTTTGCTTTGTCCACATGACTCTAACCCATGAGTGACTGCAGGCCTATTTCACTATTGATTACATCCGTTGGTATATATTTTTATCTGCCTCTCACTGTGTTTAGGGCCCTTTCTGTTTGTTGACAATGTTTATTGATGGCTGCTCATAAGCTGTAAGAGGCTAGGCTGTAAAATCATTAATCAGCAGGTGGGTGTTACTAATGACCGAGTTAATAGATGTGTAATTCCCAGGATCAACAACCTCCCAGCTGTCTAAAATCTGTCTTGTGCAAATATAGATATATTCTAGAACATATAGAAAAAAGTACCATCAAATCTGTTTGAAAAGTGTTTTTTTAAAGCCCTCTCTCCACCTGTTTGTTTGACAGCAAACTGTGCCACAGAACTCACTGGCTGGTCTCAGACCTGGAGGACTGTGGTCTGGTGGTGGAGACCATCCCTGATCTGAATCATGTTGAAGTCACTGCTGGTCTGTGGGACACTTTTTACTTATTTGCCTGTCTCATGTTCTATCGGTCAGCTTATACATATTCAATCTCAAATGTATGGTTCAAAATGTAATGCCAAAGATCCAAAAAATCCATAATCACATACTGTATTTAGTTGCCTAAAAACAGATGTATTAGAGGAACGTTACAGTGACTTGGTTTACTTGCAGAGAATATTCATTTTTTCTTGTCCTTATTCCAAAAGAGATACAAAGTTCTTTATGCGGCTAATTAAAATAGGTATTCCAGAAATATTATTGATAATATTCCAATTAATATGATGTCTTAAGCGGAGAAAACGACACTAGGAATATGGTCTAAAAGGGAATATCCAAACAGAATATGCCATTTACCAGATGGCAGTGACACCAGGGATACTGTCATGTTGGCACATTTTGTTGAGTGTTGCTGGCATGCAAAAATAGTCAATGTTGCTAAGTTCAAACCTGTTTTGTAAATTTAAATCCCCATAACAATCAGTGTAAATACCAGGATTTTTTCAAAGTAAAAACACCACATGTTGTATCACTCATCTGCAGAAAATGCACTGGAGGTGGTGGAGATGATTGAGGATTTATTGAGCGACCACTCCACACTGAACTACCAGGAGGTGGCCACAGTCCTCAACAAGCTGGAGGACATTGTGAATCTCAGCAGGGTCACACCATGCCTGGGCCAAGCTCTCATCAACATCATCTCTGACATACTGGAGTCTGACAGCAACCTGGTGCCTTTTACTAACATGTAAGGAGGGAAAACTGAAGGGACTGGCTCAGATTTTCTGTTTGACGTCTAATCACTTTCCTTACTGTTTCCTCCTCAGGATCCTCAACATCACAGAGGCAGTGGGAGACAGGATGGTGGGCTACGAGGGCTCCTCCACCCTGACTGCCCCCTCCATTGCTATCTCAGTGGTGGATGTAGTTCCTGGAGAGTTCAGCAGTTTAACTTTCGGAGTGTCATCTGACCGCGCAGGCAAAAAGCCTGAGGTTAGTAAAGTGACAACAACACCTACAAATGTCCTCTATATATGGATTGGTAAAGCCAACTGATTTCCAGAATCCATTTAATAGAACAAAACTATAAGGTATATATAAACGGATCAATCTCTTGATTTTAATGAATATACCCTTCATGAAAGTATAATTCAAATGATGAAGCCCAGCCATAGTCAGTAATTGTTTTGACTGTTGTTTTTCTTATGAAAGCTGGCTGTGTCTGAGCTTAAAAGAGCATTAAACGTTTTTTTATTTCTGTGTAGATCTTCATCAACAGCTATCCCTTCAACCGAACAGTGGCTTTCATCTCCCTGCCGTCCGTCCTGCAGCACAGCTTCCCAGAGAACAGCTCCACCCAGAGCCCACCCAGAGTCAAGTTTCAGTTCTTCGGCATCCCAATGCTCTTCAAGGTAATAAATAATAATATAAAATTAAATATAACACATACAATTCCAATAAAACATTTATTTGAAACCCTCAATGTTTCAAATATACTGGGTAGACTCTGTTATATATTAAAAAATCCAACTTGCATACACATTTCATTCTTTTCTTCAGAACAGCCAACAGGGGCACGTCCTCAACACCTTTGTGGTTTCAGCCAGTGTGACCAACGCCAGCGCTCCAATCAAAGACCTGGATGAAGACGTGGAAGTCATGCTCTACCATCTAATACCCAACACAGTAGGATCAACGGCCCACTAAAAACAAGGCTATACAAATAAAATCTGATACAGAGTTACCACTGCTGTTTATGTAGTGATTAAACACATTTGATTAACAAAAACAAAAATCTCTGTTGAAGCTTCACAGGGACGTGCAGTGCGTGTACTGGAACTTCAATAAAAACAGTAGGTCCTGATTTAAATCCTCACTGCACTTGCTGGATGGACAGTGTGGTACTGAATGTCTGTGTCATCACATAGATGGACACGGAGGCTGGGATGATGACGGCTGCAGGAAAGACAACAGCAGCTCTCAGTACACAACGTGCCTGTGTGATCATCTCACACACTTCGGAGTTCTTCTGGTATGCGTTTATTATATTTCTTTCCTGGATAAACGTTGGCTCCACAGTGACTTTAGCATGCTTATGAGTTTTGGTAATGGTAGCAGTATTAATATATGTAGTCTTAGAGAAGGTGTAAGTGGTTAGACTCAGATTTTACCAGCAGAGGGCGCTCAAAGCACAATACAAATTAACTACTGTCAGGTAAAGTTTGACCCAAATTATTTTTGATTAGACAAAGTCATTGTAGGACATGCTTCCTGTTCTAGAGTACTTTCACAAAAAGGCAAATGGCATTGTAATTTATCACAACCTTGAGCATATAACTTTGAAATAATCAAATGCAATTAATCTATTAAATAATGATTGCTAAGGCTTGTGAAACCTATAAATGCTGACAAATGTACTGCAAAACTGCAAAAATATCATGGATATATCTCCTATTGTGACAGCAATTCACACTAATTAATATTTTCGCAACCATTTTTCACATTCTAGTGCTTTAGTAAGCTAATCATTTGAGTTGTTCACGTCACATACTTTGTATTAGATACAAAAGCAATTACTGTTAGTTATTTGTGATACATGAGACAAATAAATACACTCTTGCTCATAAAGCCTTGTTGTGTGTTTGTGTGTGTAGGACGTCTCCAGGACTCCGTTGGACCCGGCTAATGAGCAGATCCTCACCATCATCACTTACGTTGGATGTGGAGTCTCCTCAGTGTTTTTGGGAATCACTGTTCTCACCTACACAGCTTTCGAGTAAGACTCAAACCTCTGAGTTGTTAAAACCTCCACCAGGGAGGTCATGTTTGCAACTTGGTTTGTCTGTTTGTTTGTTTGTTACTATCAGCTTGTTCCTACTAGATTTTTTTTTAACCTTTGTGTAGTGTGTAGCATAAATAAAGAGAAAATAATAACCAACCATGTGTCCTAAATGAATAACAATAATATAATTTAAGCATGACCAAACAACCACTTAAATGTTGTGATGTTTCTCTGTCTTACCTTTCGTTTTCTCCCCTTATCTTCGTCTCAGGAAGCTTCGTCGGGACTACCCCTCTCAGATCCTGATCCACCTCTCCCTGGCGCTGCTGGGCTTGAACCTGGTGTTTCTGGTTAACTCGTGGCTGTCTTCCTGGGGTCTGTACGGCCTCTGCGTGGCTGTAGCATCCACAATGCATTACTTCCTCCTGGCGTCATTCACCTGGATGGGGTTAGAGGCCGTTAACATGTACTTTGCACTCGTCAAAGTCTTCAACGTCTATGTGCCCTCTTACATCCTAAAGTTCTGCTCTCTGGGGTGGGGTGAGTCGTTTGTTCACCTGACTGACATAACATTTTGTTGCTGGCCAGAACATTGTGACCACCCTAAAAGTAAATCAAAATTATTATTTGCTATAAATGAATTTAAATTGTCCCTCCAGGGATTCCTCTGGTTATCTGCATCCTGGTGCTTATCGTGAACAGAGAGGCCTACGGCAGTCACCTCTACACACACGGTCAACAAAGCCTGAAGACAACTCTAGACAACTCTGACAACTTGTGAGTTTATCCTAAATTAATTATTCATGTCCTGAGGCATATTTGAAACACAGGGGTTTCAATCAGCAGTGAGACTGAAATAGACAGAATTTTTCAATCTTGTGTCAAGCAAACTTCAAAACTTGACTGGATTTTCTCAATTATTAAACAAGAGTATAAATACATTATTAAGATTATATTTTGTATTATTGTCACCAACAGTTAAAGAAATATTGCAAAAATGTTTGTAATCCTTTTGGATACATACAAGTGACATATCAAGCTGGTCTTAATAAAGTCAAACTAAAAACTGAAATTGATATCAAAACTTGAATTAGCTGTTTGATAGCCTCTAAATCATTCCTACTTGTTTTCATCCCTCTTTCCTTGTCCCCTCAGCTGTTGGCTCCAGGACGATCTGACATTTTACGTGTCCGTGGTTGCTTATGCCGCGCTGGTCTTTCTCTTCAACATTGCGGTAAATAGTTATAACATTTGCCGAACTGTTGTCAAGATGCTCATACTCCTTAAAGAATGGCCTATGCCCACATCTTAAATGGTAAATGTATCACAGTATTTTGCTAATTCCCTTTTTTCTTTTCATTTTTGAGGGCACTTGCCTATGTATCTTAAAGTCTATTGTTTTCCTGTATTTAACTAGATCTTTCTTTGAATCTCCTTTTAGGTTTTTGTCGTGGTTCTGATCCAGATTCGTCACATGCGAGTCAACAGGCCGGCTGGGATTCGCAGCGGACTCATGCACGACCTGAAGGGAGTAGCCAGTATCACTCTGTTACTGGGACTCACCTGGACTGTTGGCTTCTTCACGGTGGGACCAGCCAGAGTAGTTCTGTTCTACCTTTTCGCTGGACTCAACACCCTGCAAGGTTGTGGTTTCAATTGTTCTACAATCAATGAAAACCATGCTGGATAATATCTAAATATGTAAATGTACAGCATGTAAAGACCAATGCACAAGAATAGAAAGACATGTTGGTTAAGAAATTGTTGAAGAGGAAGGTTTACTAAACACATACGCAGGTTTCGTCAACATCCCACCTCATGTTCACAGTTCAACAGAAACCAACAAAAAATAAAGAAGTTAATCCAACAGAGGCTGAATGATGCAACTATTTCACAACTGCCTTTACCTCAGCTGGCCTTTGTTATATTGCCTTCTTTTATGTCTGAGAGTGACGCAAAGAAACCCTTTCAACTTCTCACTTCTGGGATAGAAATGGCTTGCTCGATCGAGACTACAAATAACTGCTGAGGGCCAAAAGAGCCACCAAAGATCCAATATTGTCCTTCCAAGCTCATGACCTTATCTTTCTTTTATGTATTTTCCAGGACTTTTCATCTTCCTATTCCACTGTCTGATGAAGGAAAATGTCAGGAAACAGTGGAGGATTCACCTCTGCTTTGGACGTTTTCGACTTGATGAGTATTCTGGTACGGCAGCCAAACATAGCTTGATGTTGATTCAGAATCAGAATACCTTTATTAGTCCCACGGAGGGGACATTTGCGTAGTTACAGCAGGAAAAAGAGCCACAGACAGCATAATGTTACATATGTTAAATATGTGACATGCATTAAAAAAAAGTACTAAGTTATGATATAATAAAAAATTAAAAGTTACATAATTTAAAATACACACCTTGTAAGGAGTTCTAAGGATTTAGCAGCCAGGTATATATTACACAGTTATTAAAAGCATTTATATATTGCACATAGTTTGTTGGTATTCAGCAGCAAGGGGTGATATAGTCTGTGTTGTGGTGTGTGTGTGTGTGGGGGGGGAGGGGTCAACTAGGGGCTGTGCTGGTTGTATAGTCTGACCACTGCAGGAAGGAAAGATCATCACTCAAGTTACATTTTTGGTGACTTGAAGAAATATTGTACTGTCACTGTGTTTGTGAAAGCACAGTTCCTCTTATTAGGTTAATAAATTACACTAAAGGCAACTCATGGCTTTAATGACCTGTTATTTGTGTTGTCATCCAGACTACAGCAACTCGGGATCAGTGGGAGTGACGGCCAAACCCAAATCAAATCCTCCAAAAGTGCCAGTACCATCGGTGGATTCTGTGAAGTCCAGCTCCACAGAGAGCACATCAGCGTCCTCTGACTCCAGCCAGAGAGACTCGTCCTGCAAGAGACCAAACCTGGGTGAGAAAATGAGGCCCAGTTATTCAAAAGTAGCATACATCCTTATTAAACTCATAGTTATCAGTCTTACAACACTGCTTTCACTTTAGCACACTTGAAAGCCTGAAAGATAATTATAAACAATGCATTAAGTTCAACACTGATATAAATTGAATACAAAATAAAAGCCATTTCTGAAAATGTGCTTTGAGAGATAATAAGCCGAGGGTTTGGCTTCCATTTTATTCCATAATGACTTTTCTTTAAAACCCAATTATCATCTTTTGACATTAAACTCTTAATGAAGGCCTTAATTCTCCTCTTTTGTTAGACATTTAAGGTTACAATTAAAAGTTCTCATTCATCTTGTAGGAATATGAAATGATGATGATCACAGATTTAGTCATAATCACAGTCCCTCGGCTGCCAGAATCACAGTGAAGGTCACTGCATGCATTAATGAGACTGCACTGACGTTAAATAATTACACGGAAGCCTTTGTAATGGGACCTAAGAGGACATCATTGTTATTTTTGAAAGGTTTCCTTTCCCACCTGTCAGCTCAATTTAAGTTGAACCCCCAAATCCCAGGCATGAATTCTCAAACCACATTTGAGAACATTTCAGATTTTCACATCTCAAATTGTTCACAGAGGTTTAATTACCTTGCAGGCCTTTTCGTGAATTCCCTGGCTCTCCCTCGTGCCCAGAAGAGCCCCTCTGATACAGGAGCTCTGCCCTCCCCCAGGGGGGAGAACCCAACACCTGGCTGGAGGAATCACTTGCTTGGCCAGCAAGGAAACAGATAAAACACAAAGAACCACAGACACATGCAAATGCTAGAAACTGACATGAAATCTTGAAGACCGAAACAGCAGTTTTAACATGCATTTGTTTTTTAACATAAGATAGATATCAAATTAATTCCTTTGTAATCCAGCTTCATTAGATCATTTTATCGTGCAATCCTATTGTCTTTTTGTTTTTGCCAACTACTGATAAAGAGCCTGTAATTATGAAGTCATGAGTAGTTGCATCAGTTCCAATGAGGAGTTGGTTGCCAAGCAACTGGTGAGATGGAGCCATGGTGACAATGAACCATGGCTCCACAGTTTGTCTGAAAAAAATAATAAAACATTTAATTTAAGATGATGCAAGTCTCCCTGTGTCCCTTCTCCGCCTCTCTTTGTGCCAGTTAATGTGTATTTCAAGTTCAACCAAATAATTATGCTGCAGTTGTTCCTCGAATCACTTCAGGAGGTGATTACCATTTCTTGAATGTGGCTGCCATCTTGTTCTTTAAATTCTGACACCTTCCTTGTGAAACATGTGATGATCCAAAATAGTCAATGCGGTTTAAATAAACCACTGGCATTGATTGGAGTTAATCAGTAGAGCAGTGGAAAGAACAGAAATCATTGCTACATAAAACTCCCATAAAAGGTTTGCCTTTTTTTACGTCATTTCTTTTACCTGGATTGTTTTATGGACTACATTCCCTTAACACTTGCAAACCAAACGCTTGCAACAGTTATTCATTCTGTATTGTTTGACAAAACATTTTAATTTGAAGACTAGCAGAGTTGTTAGTACATAAACAAATATTGCTTCAGAATGCTTTGAACTATTAAATGACCAGACAGTCCGAAAATACACGAATGAAGATATACAACTAGAGACTTTAAAAAGGAAATATAATTGCATATCTTTTACCTATTTTCTTCAACTATATGACACCAGGAAGGTCATCTCACTTACTGCAGAGTGCAAGAGTTACGTTTTATAATGATATTGAAGTACTGTTTTTTTAAATTTATCTTAAAGGTGGGGTATGTAATTTTCGAGAAACCAGCTCGAGTGCGCTAGAATTTGAAAGTACACAACCGGAAAAAATCTGCCTCTTCCTTACAGAGCCCCTCCTCCAACACACACGAACGCGCACATGACCAATGAGGGCACGAGATAAGTTTGTGCACAGATGGAAGGTTGACAGGCAGGTAGGCCATCCAGTTATTTTAGCCGGGCCGGCTAAAATGATTGGTCGTGCTTTTTACAGCGCTACGGCTTCCAGATGAAATGTTTTTATGTATTTATTGTCAAAGCATTTAATATATTCATTGCTATCGGGATGTTAAGAGCATTCCATGGTTAGTAAAAACTAGGGGACATTGGAGCATTAAAGAGGTTGAAACTATGATCAATATCCTTGGTTCTTAGTCGGTGATTAGACTTTGGACACACTGAACATGCTGTTGAATAAATCAGAATAAAAATGTGTAAAATTATAAAACAGTGAATGAAATTGTGATGAATCCTGTCATGATACCAACTCCATACAGTACAAGGCATAGGTAGAATTATTTATATTTGTATCAACTCAAAACATATTTTTGTCAATCAGTAAAACATTTTGGCTACAAATGTGATAATGGGTAATAATATGTTCCTCCATTCTACTTGAGTGGCATACTGTTCCCATAAGTCATGTTTTCCCACTCACAACTCATTCAAACTAACAAATACTTCACTGTGTTGCAGAACAGTAGGGTCTCGTTTATCTTTTTCAAACACCTACACAAACAGAAAACTAAAATACGTTATGTAAAACAAAACTAGAATTTCTGTTAAGAACGGTATTGAACGAAGAGCACAGCAAACAGAAGTAAACTAAATCTCAAGAGGAACTTGAACTTTTGCGTGGCCTGTTTCTCAGCGGGAGCACATTCAAACGCTGAAGCAGTCCACCAGCTTTTTTGAATTCCAGGGACCTGCATGGTTACTCAGAAACTTCTCCTTGACCAGATCTTTGACAGTCTGGTAGGCGACGGCTTCCATCTATAAAACAAACATTTACATCATCATGCATCACATCGGTCTAAAAACCACAATGAAACAAAGCTACAATTCCCTCACATTCACCACATTTACACTGGCTTGCTGGGTTGAATGTGTAGTAATCGTATAATCATTTATAGCTGACCTTGACGCTGTGGTAGACGGGAAGATTCAGCAGGTAGCTCTTCCCGCTGATCTCTGCAGCTCGGAGGAAGTAACTGTAGAGCGCTCTCTTGCAAAGTCTGCTGGAGAAGTCGGGTCCACTCACAGAAGGAGAACTGGGAAAAGTTCACCAAACTTATATTTCAATGAATGCTTCCCTTTAGATGCATTGATTGTCTTGTATACATGTATTGATCGTTTTGAGAACTGTATTGTATATTAGTGGATTTCAAATATATTAACCCTTTCAAATATATTAACCGGTGAAGTTGACTTTGCAGTGTGCGTAACACACACACTCCCTCACCCATGAGTCATAATAAAGCTCGCCAGGTAATTAGCATTAGTGAGAGGTGGGTGCTGTATAGAGTATCCACTCGTAGGATCAAAAGTTGTAAATGTTAAATGTGTGTTCATGCACTGCATTAAGTGACTTGCTCATAACTAAGTTTTCCACCGCCAACACTATTTTGGAGGATGCAGTCTCCGCTTCAGGGGCTTCGCTGTGCTGAGAATTAAAAAAAAAAGTGTTGTGCAAGACAATTCTTCTATGCTGTTACAGCAAAAATCTTAAATGTGGTCTGGCTGACTGAGGGAAGAGTTTCCTGCAGGCAGCACTTACCACTGCTGCTAAGCAATTTCCTCTGGGAAACCTAGCAGTATATCTCTGGGGGGGCAGACCGGTGGTGAGAAGTGTTTTCAGTGAAAGACTAAATTCTGTGCTGGTATCGGGTATGACAGCATCGATGGGAGCCGACTTTAGCAGATGGCTGTGCAGGGTGCCTGAAATCATTTTGAAGGAATACTCCACCCACTTAATGAAAATATGGATCGTTCTCTCATGTATTCAAATAAATAGGGGTTGAATTTATTGTCAAAACTATAAACAAATATGTCTTTAAAAAACTCTTTCACAAATGGTGAAGTAAAGCCCCAGTCGTATGCTCACTACTTCTTTACACACACACTTGCTCTGTTGTTATACGTATTTCCCAATTTCTTCATTTTCATCTTAACAAATGTTATTTACTGTGGAAGTATGCAAGAACAACAACGTTTTCTAATGGCAGTTTTTTTTTTACCGTATGCCATGGACCTGGGATCAGGGGTATTTCCCTGACGATGCTACTTTGTAATGCAGGAGGAGAGCTAGTTAACATTAGCCGTTAGCTGAGGCTGACATGTTGCATTTAGTTAAATTATAATGATGACATTGAATTGTGGGATTTTATATAATGCTTTCTAGGTAGACAAGAAATGTTAGGGCAAGCAAAGGCTTTGAGGAAACAATTCATTGCTTCAATGATGACAATCTATTGCTAAAGATGATAGGAATAATTGGCAAGCTACTTATACATTAGTAAATTGAAGAAGCCCCATACGACTGAAGCAGCGTCTTCTTTCATTTTCACACTATATTTAGTATTTTTCAGTACAGTATGTGTTCTTGCCATGCTTTCAATTGCTCTTCACCTCCCCCTCCACTCTTTATTCTTGCCCTTGAATTTAATTTCTTCTTTTTCAGGGAGCCTATTTTTCTTTGCCTATTTATAGTTTATTGTTTGGAACATTGTGCAGAGCTCATCCTGACAGTTTAAACTATGGTGTCGCCTTAAACTATTAGTTCAGGCTGCGGCACCGAAGCAGAAATATGCAGCATCACTGCGAGCGCAAAGCAGGATCTCAGATCTATTTTGGGCTGTAATCTCTGCCCAAGGACAACGCAGCCTCCAGTGAGAGCCACGTCTGTGTCACACTCTAGCTACTGGACATCAGCATTTGTCTGCAGCTCTAAAAAGGCAAGACATGGCAGAAGCCCCGGGCATTGCTGAGACTGTCCAACAAACACAAAGCATCAGGCACTGCCAGCAGTTCTACGCTGCCCCTGGATGTGGCTGCACAGTTTAAATGAGGTAAGCTTTAGTCAGGTCAGGACACACTGCAGTACAAGACTTCACACTCACATTCCTGATGCAGGGACACATTATTACTGCACACTACTTCTTAGAATTAGTGACATTTGAATCTGCATCCTACCCATCAACGATGCGGCCATCGCTGCTGTCCAGAACTTCAACATCCTTGTCCCCAAGGCACCAGTTGACGCTGAGGCTGTCGTGCTTCGGGGAGATCACAGCCGGTCCCACGTAGTCGCCACACAGGAAGAAGATGTTGTGTTTTTTTTTGTAGGACGACGGCAGAATGTCCTCCCAACCATCACCCAGTCGCATGTTGGTGATGTTAGACACTTCGTCATAAAAGAACTTCTGGCCCCCTAAATAATCAAAACAAACTCAGTATTTGTATTTGAACACACAGGGGAAAGTAATCCATGTAACATGATTTAAATCACCATTCCAAATTGTCATACAATTACAGCTTCACACATATTTCACTTAGTGTCTATAATAGCTTTGGAAATTAAACTACCTGTAAAATACCAGACTTTGAGAGCTCTCGTATAACTCTAGGCCAAGAATTAAAGAGGCGTATTTCCTGAAATATATAATAGCTTTAAGGCTCTTTACCTAGCACGGTGCTAGTGATGTAGACAGGCTGGAGGAAGTGGCTCAGTAGTGCACCCTGCACCCCAGTGACGGTCCAGCTGCACAACTTGTCACTGCCGGACATGCAGCACACTTTGGCCCCCCAGTGGCTCGGGTCCAGGTAGGCAACAGGGACCAGCAGGCCCTTGGAATGGTACTGCAGCTTCATACTGGTCCAGATGTCGTTTGAAGGGCCCCTAATCAGGAAAGACGGATGTGTTTCAGAAAACATTCTAACCCATTTACTTTACAAACGTAAACCATATTAACTAGTTAACCCCAAATAATACATCTGCATTACATAACAAAAAACAAGAAGTTATATATGACTTAACTTGAAAGAGATTATTTCCAGTTCTAATTTTAAGTGAATGTATTGACAAGTTTATGACGATAAAGATTGCTTTTTTCTTGGATGAGATTCTTGATTTCTATCATCCGAAGACAATTTACACACTGACTGCAAAAGACTTCTTTCAACAAAGCCCAAAGTTGGGAATAAAAGAGTACTTGAAGTGGAGGTTCTTAGCCGCTCCTTCAGGACACTGATTGGTGTAGAGATGCAGACTGGTGTTGGGTTTCAGCTGAAGCTGGTAGCCGTCTGCACTCTTCTCCAAAACACAGTTCTCCTTAGCCTTTGGATCAGCATCAAAGAACAGCAGAAGCTGTTTGAACAGAAACCTGAACACAAGCCAGAAAAAACAGTTCTCACTTTGAGCCACGCAAGCACCATCAAAGGTTTAAAACAGTGAGTGTGCTGATCCGGGCTGCCTGCTCTAGATAAAAGAGGCAATATTTATACATATTTAAGTTATGATCTTGTAAATGATGGCCTGTGCTGGGGTCAAAGAAGCTGTTTCGTACCTTTTGAGAGCCCTTCTGGCGATGATGATGGCGTGGCAGTCATGGACCATCGTTCCGTTGTAGCAGAGCCACCTACTGCAGCTTGAACGGCCGGCTCCTAACGCCACCAGCGTGTAATGCTGACATGGACGACCTGCTGTGTCCAGCAACTCTGTAGGAAAATGACACTTTCTTTCTTTGACATGGACAATGATGTGTGAATGGCATTCAACTACGAGGTGAAGAAGGGATGACACATGTTAAACAATAAACAAAAAAAGCTGCGATCAAAACTACATTTACATCCATAAACCCTCCTCATCTGTTTCCATTCAAACCATAGCTGGTGACTCAGAAGATTCATAGGTTATAAAATAAAAATCTGACTTTGAATAAGAAAAGCAAAAATAACTAACAGCAGCTCTCTGCCATCAAAATGTCAAAATCGTGGTTGGCAAGCTTGGTGATTAATTCAGGGATGTTGCTATTCTGAGAATGAAGTAACATGCCATAAAGAAGTGAACTGAACAGAAATGTTTTTGACGATCATTTATAATACTGTACAGTTTCCTAAAGTCAGGTTTTCTATGTCTATGGAGACTCAATTTTGATGCAGCCAATCAAATCGTTCATAAAGAAGTGACATCAGTGTTCTGTATTTTTTCAGACTGGAAAAAAAGTTTTTTAACTAACATACTGAAGGTGCTTACCTCTTATCAAGACAAATGCTGCCATGTGGCTCTTACAGCCATGGAAATCGGGACACATCTTCAGCAGGTTGTCAAACATCTCACTACTTAAAGCTGCCATGTGGTTCTTGTGCAAGTCAGTTTTCCAAACTAGGAGAAAGGAAAAAAAGGAAAAAACAAAAGACAGCTATGTATTTAGAGATAAATATATTTTGGACACCACTATTTCAGTGCAGTTTTCTAAAACCCTTTCAGATTTTTTCCAGAATCAGGGCATAACAATTTAAGCAGACAGTAAGACCTATAGTCCTTAGTTTCAGTCGCTGTCATTTAAAATCTTGTCAAAGGGACAACCCAATACATATTTTTAACCATTTAGCAAAACAAATTAAATATGTTTTATCTATCTGTAAGGTTGAGTTCAGCAAATGGAGAATGCATTATTGCATATGTTTTAAAGACAATTAAGTCCAAATCATCTTTTTATTTTATTTTATTCAGTAGTGCTAGCATGAGGTATTGAGGTCTGAGAAGATCATTTTCAGTTTGTGTTGGAAGATGTGAATTGCTTCTGCTGTCCAGACTACGCCTGCAGTTATTCCACTACTGTGTGACCTGGACATAGAAGAGCATTGACCAAAATAAGTGAGCAGAAATCCAAAAGTCCAGAGCACAGTTATTCCCTGCCCTTAAGGCTACAAGAGCACCAGACACATCTATCCACCTTCAGTCCGTGTGCTCTCGTCAGGATTAGGATCCTTGATCTGGTCCAGGGTGAGCTCTTCATCGCAGTACAGGCATTCGACCGGTGACAAACCATGGAGAGAGAGGGCAGCATGGTCATCATCCGAGTACTCATCCTGAAAAAAATAAACATTATCATTCTGGTAAAAAAAAGGGCAGTGCTATTTCTTCTCCACAACCTACATCTCTTGTGTTTCTCTAGGAAATAAAGTTATAGTCAAATCAATGTCAGCACATGTAAACAGACTGTTAGGGAGAGATAATGAGACAAAAAGGACCATGTAAATGTGAGATTAACGTTGAGAATGTTTTGCTGTTCCCGGCTTAAGAGACAAAGTGGCTGCAGATGGCTTTGTACCCCTCCATTTAGCTGGAAAATGATATCAAGAACGGCTATACTTGCCAGTCAAATAATATGCTGTTTACTATCACAGATATTGAGATTTTACACTGATGTCATATTTTCAAATAAAGCAAAATAGGGTTATTTATTCCTTTGTAATTTCAAGTTGTATGTGCAGGACAAATTCCACATGAAAGCAGAAAATTGCATATTGTGTTTCATATCCAGGAAATTGGCTACTGCCGGCTGAATGTGACAGATGCTTATTGCATCTCTGCTTTTGGAATTGAATATCTCAGGTGAAGGCCTGAACAATAACTCCACGTTTGACACATGGTCTTTACTACAAAACACCACTTTAATAATAGGAAAGTAGTATTTTTATGTATTTACCTCATCTTCCGATAGGATGTTGCCAAAAGGAAATTTATTGTTGAGTTTTGGAAGAGAAGTCTTCTTATTTTTTGGTCCATCACCTTCTTCATAAAGTAATGCCTTTTTCACTTGGTCAAAGGAAGCAGATAGATCTTTCCTGAGATGGTAACATAAACAAATAAAAACATTTGACATTGTAAATGGTACAGCTAGTCCTTCAAAAGAGTATAGAGGATACAAGAAAAGATGAACAATGACAACTATTGTATGTAAATCAAAAGGAATGTATTATGGAATCACATTTACATTGCAACTCAAAATGAAATAAAAATATGTTTGATCACAGTAAAGATAAAGCTTGCCCTTTCTGGTGTAAACACAATACAACACTGTCGCATTTTCCATTACCTCAGCCCAGCAGCATCGCTGTAGAAGGGCCCTTCGTCTGTCAGCTGGACCCGAGGAATGCGAAGGGGTTGGAGAGCCAGAAAACTAGCAGCACCTCTCCTTGGACTGTATTTAAGTGAGTCCTGATCTGCCATGCTTATGAAGCAACCTGTACAAACATTTAAATTAAGTTAGTGTGATGGTTTCATATTTAGCCTTGCCCCAATAATCAACAAAATGCTTTATTTAACAAATGCCCCAAGATTAAGAGTCCTGTTGTTTTAAGACTAAATTGCACTAAACCTGCAGGTTGTTTATCATAAAGAAAGTCAATTGATTAGTCAAGATCGTTTTTTATAGAATATAGATAGTGGATGTCACTGGTGTAAAGTAACTAAGTAGATTTACTCGAGTACTGTACTGAAGTACAATTTTGTGGTACTTGTACTTTACTTGAGCATTTAAATGGTTTGCTACTTTGTACTTCTACTCCACTACAATTCAGAGACACATAGTGTACTTTTACTCCACTACATTTATGTAATACCTTTAGTTACTTTTTGTTTGTTTAATGTTTAATTTACACATTAATACATCAATTACTATATTAAAAACATATAATATATTATTCTGAAATGGATCGATCTGCTCAATGAGTATTTTACTTTTGGTACTTTAAAGTGGACCTATTATGCTATATTGGAAAAATATATTGTAGGGCCATACCTATACAAAACATGTCTGTGAAGTTTTTTGCTTAAAATACCAAACAGTTCACCCATTTGTAGTACAAACAGTTCACCCATTGTAGCACAGAATTTGGGTCCTTAGCTTAAAAAAAAAAAAAAAAAGAGGAGGCGGAGCTAATGCCTGATCAGAATTCTACCGGAGATAAAGTTAAATTCTGCTGTGATAAAACGCCATCCTGTTCTAAACCATATCAAAGATTATTTCTGAAACAGTATGGAGCTCAAATGCTTTTTCTCTTGCGGGTTTATCACAAGGTGAGTTCCTTTTTTTATTTCCTGCTTTTTAAACACATGTGCTCTACAGTACAGGTTAGCTCCGAGTGTTAGCGAGGCTTGCTAATGTAAACAAAGACGAGATTACGTCCAAAACACGGCAGGCATTGTTTCTGATAGCAATTTTCTGTGGGTCCGCTGCCGATTTGAAGTCAGATCGGCAGCAAATCTGTATCCGCTCGTTGTACCCGTTTTTAAAAGATTTGGGTACGGAGGAAAAGAGAGAGGGTTTTATTTTCTGACGCTGCGCGAGTTCCCCAACGCACCGGGGACACATATTTATGTATAAAAGACATCACAAAATGCATTTTGCATGATAGGTCCCCTTTAAGGTAGGGTAGGTAAGAATGGAGAAACCAGCTCGAGTGCGCTAGAATTTGAAAGTACACAGCCGAAACAAATCTGCCCCTTCCTTCAGACTTCCTTATGCTGTGTTCACACCGGACGCGATGCGACGTTTGGGGGCGGCGCGATTACATGTAAAGTCAATGCAGAGACGTGGACAAACGCGAATTCGCTCCGACGGCGCGCATGAAGCGGTGGACGCGGCGCGAATCACACGATTGAGGCGATTGAACGGTGCCGCGTTAAACGCGAGAGTTCAATTTTTTCAACTCGAGCGTCAAATTCACATGACGCGTTCTCGCGGAAGCCAATCAGCGGTGAGGATCTCAGCCGCCGTCACTGACGTTCAACCACACAACATCAGCCGTTAGCTGTTAGCAGTTAGCACACAGAGCTCACAGCTCCTCATATCCGTTCAGAAACTGGACAAAAGTTAAACAAGTACAAACCAGACTGTCTGTGTCATGGTGAATACAGTCGCTGCTTTATTTATGTCTGTAGGCCGTTGTTATGAGTGTGGAATGAGCATATACAACGTTAGCTTAGCCTGGTCGACCCGATCTTCATTCAGAAAACAAGCATTTTAAAAGGTGTTTTGCCTGCCGTCTTGTCTGCAGACTTGTCAAAGCATTAATTCATGGTTGTTACTAACCGGTATCAGTATGTTGTTACTTCGGCATCATTTAGAAACGTGTATTACAATTTAATCACGGTAAAATATGTTCATTTGTTGTAGTTGTAGCTCCCGAGCCAGCGCGTCTTGTTTGAATGATGCGAGTAAACACAGCTGGCAGCCGCGGTGAACCTCCAGCGTTTAGAGCGATGCGATAGGAGCGATTAGAGCGAAGCGAATAGTCGCATCGCGTCCGGTGTGAACGCAGCATTATGCTACGTTCACACCGGACGCGATGCGACGTTTGGGGGCGGCGCGATTACATGTAAAGTCAATGCAGAGACACGGACACACGCGAATTCGCTCCGACGGCGCGCATGAAGCGGTGGATGCGGCGCGAATCACGCGATTGAACGGTGCCGCGTTAAACGCGAGAGTTCAATTTTTTCAACTCGAGCGTCAAATTCACGTGACGCGTTCTCGCGGAAGCCAATCAGCGGTGAGGATCTCAGCCTGCCGTCACTGACGTTCAACCACACAACATCAGCCGTAAGCTGTTAGCATTTAGCACACAGAGCTCACAGCTCCTCATATCTGTTCAGAAACTGGTTAAGTTAAACGAGTACAAACCACAGACTGTCTGTGCCATGGCGAATACAGTCGCTGCTTTATTTATGTCTGTAGACCGTTGTTATGAGTGTGGAATGAGCATATACAACGTTAGTTTAGCCTGGTCGACCCGATCTTCATTCAGAAAACAAGCATTTTAAAAGATTTTTCGCCTGCCGTCTTGTCTGTAGACTTGTCAAAGCATTAATTCATGGTTTTTACTGACCGGTATCAGTATGTTGTTACTTCGGCATCATTTAGAAACGTGTATTACAATTTAATCACGGTAAAATATGTTCATTTTGTTGTAGTTGTAGCTCCCGAGCCAGCGCGTCTTGTTTGCGAGTAAACAAAGCTGGCAGCCGCGGTGAAATTCCAGCGTTTAGAGCGATGCGATCGGAGCGATTTAGAGCGAAGCGAATATTCGCATCGCGTCCGGTGTGAACGCAGCATAATGCTTCAGAATCGCATCGCTCTAAACGCTGGAATTTCACCGCGGCTGCCAGCTTTGTTTACTCGCAAACAAGACGCGCTGGCTCGGGAGCTACAACTACAACAAATGAACATATTTTACCGTGATTAAATTGTAATACACGTTTCTAAATGATGCCGAAGTAACAACATACTGATACCGGTTAGTAACAACCATGAATTAATGCTTTGACAAGTCTGCAGACAAGACGGCAGGCAAAACACCTTTTAAAATGCTTGTTTTCTGAATGAAGATCGGGTCGACCAGGCTAAGCTAACGTTGTATATGCTCATTCCACACTCATAACAACGGGCCTACAGACATAAATAAACCATCGACTGTATTCGCCATGACACAGACAGTCTGTGGTTTGTACTTGTTTAACTTTTGTCCAGTTTCTGAACAGATATGAGGAGCTGTGAGCTCTGTGTGCTAACTGCTAACAGCTAACGGCTGATGTTGTGTGGTTGAACGTCAGTGACGGCAGGCTGAGATCCTCACCGCTGATTGGCTTCCGCGAGAACGCGTCACGTGAATTTGACTCTCGAGTTCAAAAAATTGAACTCTCGCGTTGTATATATTTATTGTCAAAGCATCTAATTTGTTCATTGCTATCGGGATGTTAAGAGCATTCCATAGGATATAACAAAAAGTGTTTCTGAAGTGAATCACCTACCCTACCTTTAAGTATATTTTGATGCCAATACTTTTACTTGTAACGGAGTATTCTGCACTGCACCTACACTCTGGTACTTCTACTTAAGTACAAGATCTGAGTACTTTTTAAACCTTATTTTGTTTGTAAGGCAATGATTTATAGGTTCCAGCCTTTTAGTCATGACAATTGGTTGCTTTGGTCTGTCTCATACCACTCAAAATAAAAACAGTATTTAAAAAAAGATTTGAACCACATGATTAACCAGCGTAATTGCAAAGATTAGTTGAGTTTTAAAAAAAGCACCAGTTTCTAGCCAAATATTCGTGCATTTTAAAGTGCCGCAAACGAAGGAAAAGGGCAGAGTCAAGCTAGCGACGAAGGTGACCGTTAGCTAGCGTGACTTAGCTGCCAACTGCACAAGACTTTCAGTAAATGCTTCCTAAGCGACAGTCATAAACGTTTGCACATATTTGAGACGAAACTGTGAAAGAAAACGTTTCACTGAACGTCAACTAGTTTATGTAGTTGTTGCCCCTCGAAACTGTGAAGTAATGTTTGCTAACGTGTTAGCTAGTAGCAAGCGTTATCTGGATGTGCTCAACTGGCGTTCGAACCTCTCCAATCTGAGAAAAAACATACAAACGTCGAGCTTGAGGTTTAACGATTCTAACTTTTCAAAAATATTGTGGCCACATTTAAGTTAAAGTTTACCTTCGGTCTTAAGACGTTCCTCTAACCTGAGACAGATGAGGTATTCGTGGTTGTTCTCCACGTGTTCGGATCCAAAGCCGAGATGAGGGCGTGGTGGGGAGGCAAACCTGGCAACCTTGGAGGTAGTGATGTGTCGGTCGCGAAAGAGCCGGCTCTTTTAAGTGAACGACGGGAGCCGGCTCGCGCCCGCGAACGAGCCGTTTTTTTTGTTGTTATTTTGTTGTTGTTAAGTAATACAAGACAGAATGATATGATGATCTCCGCGCTACAGCTGCTCCGTGCATGCATGCAGTGACATGTAATATCCAAGGATTAGAGACTGTTGGATGCTGCTGTTTTGAGCATTGCAATACATTTATTTTTATTATGTTTTTTTATGATTAGAGACGGTTGGATGCTGCTGTACTGAGCATTGCAATATATTTATTTTCACTATGTTATTTATTTATGATTATCCTTGGGCTCAGCAAAGATTTGATGTCAGCTGTTGCTGTCTTTTTTTCTATAGTTACTACTGAAATAGAGCCCTGCTGTTTTGTCAGGGCCTTTTCTTTAAATATAATTTTAAAATGTCGATATAGTAGCCCCTTTTTTAAAATATCTATGCTTAAGTTTTTATCTCAATCTCAATCTTTATTTATTTATATAGCACATTTAAAACAACCTTCAGTTGACCAAAGTGCTGTACAGGCAATAAATATTAAATAACACAATGGGAGTACAATAATAAAACAATAATTAAAAACATGATAAAAAGCACAATAACTAGAAAAATATTTTTTTAAAAACACATACAAATGTAAAAATGTAATGTTCAACTGGTATTAAAAGCCAGTGCAAAGAGGTGAGTTTTTAGCTGAGATTTAAAAAGTTCAATAGACTCAGCAGTCCGGATATGTACTGGGAGGCTGTTCCACAGTCTAGGAGCTGCAACACTGAAAGCCCTGTCACCTCGGGTTTTGTTATAGGTGTTGCTATCTGCTTTGTGTAGCGTGGTTCTACAAGCAAGTCTGTGCATTCATTGGGTGGTATCAGAGAGATACAAGGGTCTGTAAATGCAATGAAAACAATTGGCCACATGCAGCAAATAATTGATATTAAACATGTAATTTTTACTTTTGAATACTTCAGTACAAAGGATGTATTGAATAATTTAAGTGATATGTGTACACATATAAATCATTAGTCAAAACAGGGCTACATTTGATTGAATTATAAAAGGTATAATATGTGGTAAACTGAAGAGCCGTTTGGGAGCCGAAAGAGCCGGCTCTTCTTGGTGAGCCGAGCCAAATGATCCGGCTCACCAAGAAGAGCCGGAATTCCCATCACTACTTGGAGGCAAGTAAAAGGGGGATGTGTTCATGTATGATATGGTACGTCTTTTTGTGTTCATGAAATGATGTCAAAAAACCTTCAGTGTAACATTTCCATTTGTCACAACAAATCTGCACGAGTTTGACCCTGCAACGAGGTACATTAAGGTCAGAGGTTGAAGAAGAACTAAGATATTGTACTTAAGTAAAAGTAGAAGTACCAGAGTGTAGGAATACTCTGTTACAAGTTAAAAGTACGAACGTATTAGCATACAAATATACTAAAGTACCAAAAGTAAAAGTACTCATTTTGCAGATTGGCCCTATTCAGAATTATATTTATGTTTTGATTATAATTATTGATGCATTAAAGTGTTACAAACGCTGATTTGAATTGTATGCTGCAGGGATGTGAATACAAGTGTTAAATATATTTCACATCATTATTCCAACTCTGCAAATTAACTAAAGGTATAAAATAAATTGTAGTGTGGTAGAAGTACAAATATTTAAGTGAATACATCTATTTCAAATTAGTTTAGTTTTATCATCTATGATTCTTAAATGGTTCAGTAATTGTCATACACATACATGACATACACATTCATGATGCTTGGCAAACATGGTAGGTCTCAAATGTATTTTGGTGAGTAAAACAGCTTGAAAAGATTTACACATTACGAATGTGCTTTGTCAACGGGCTCAATACTGTACAGTTTTGCCTGCAACAGAAGAGCTGTGACAATGCATTTGGGAAACACTGTCCCTGAACAGAACATGTTTTAGAATGTTTATACAGTATCTTGTATGCCACTACTCTTTTATGTCTTTCACCACAACATTTAATTCCAAAACTATGGCCATAAATAAGCTGCCAGAACAGCCTACTCTTCTGGGAAGACTAGAACCCTGATTAGGAAAATATGTCCATTACTCCAGTTCATCCCCACTGTGTTGAATGGTTTTAATGTTAGGGCTAGAGCAAGCCATTCAAGTTCTTTCACATTGAAGTCTAGAAATAATTTCTGTATTGATCTTGCTTTGTGCACAGGTGTTTTGTCATGATAGAACTGCTGCCACAGTTGGATTATTGTCTAAAATATCTCTGTGTATCCTCGCTATCGATCGACTGGAACTAATGGGCCTCGTCAAAACCATGAAACAGCCCCAGACCAAATGTAGCCTGTGGAATCTTCTTTTTATTTATTTGTAGAGTCACTTTACATACTTTCCCCATATATACAGTAGTAGTTGTAATTGGTTAGCAATTAGTGGATGGGCATAATAACATTTGAAAAACACTACAACTCAACATGATGAAATCAGAAATGACCAGGGGGATGTCCACACATGTTGGTTACATGGTTGAGTAAATATAGTGTCCAACCTCTGTTCACACTGTTAGCTCTATGTGGATGTCACCATTTGGGTAGAATTGAGATTGAATTGGGGAAATGAAAGGAAAGAGCCGGTCAGTCATATTTTATGTATGGAGCAATAAATAAGCAAATAGTAACAGAATGGTTTGGTGATTTCTATGAATTTTAAATATTTTCTGCAGCATAAATCAGTGTGATTTATAACAATATATAAACCAAAGCATTCACTAAAGAAGCCCTAACGTTGAAATGAGTTTGCAGTTGTAACATTAAATCCCTCACTAAGCCGCGTATAATTGTGTGGCATTATTTGCAGCAGATAAATGTTTCCCTGATCATTGTGAAACTCGAGACTGAACTCTATTTCTCCTTCCATTCACCTCATGAGATAGCCTTCATATCATTCTCTCCTGAGCCAAATGAGAATTTCTTCAGAGCCATATATGTGTGTGTCTGTTTCACATGAGACTTTGAAATGTTAAGTCACTCCCATCTCATGAGAGCCAGCTGAGGTGCAATGGAAAACTATCCCATGTGCCATCTTCATTTTAAATACCAGCTATTCCCTCCCTGACTCCCCTCTCTTTGTCTTTTTATATTCCCCTTTCTCTCCCTATCTATATTTTCTCTGCTTTCACACCCACACACTGGCTCACATGCTGGGAGATTTCCCTGTTTATTTTATTTAGTGGGTGACCATGAAACAGTAATGGCATACAGAACACCGTAGAGATATTCAATGTTTTCTTTCTGTCCAGGCACTGTGTTTACCAAATACATTGTCACAGCTATTCTGTTGGAACAGGGACAGGCAAAACTGTGAAATATTGAGCCCGTTGACAATTTTTCTAAACATATGTCATTGTGTGCATGAGTGTGAAGTGGGATTGTGTTTGGATGTGTTTGTGTTTTAGTGTGATAAACACAACTAGGCACAGTTGATGAGCATTATCATTGATGCTCAATTGTCAGCGATATCACGGAGATGTATTAATTTATGCTAATTGGCACTGGAAAAGAAAACCTGAATTTCAACCAACTGGATTTTCCCTTGGCGCTTAACAGTGATTCTCCCTCTGATTTCCACAATGTGTGGCTGCTGCAATGTGTACCGTATTGTGTGTGTGTGTGTGTTAACTGTGGTTCTCAAGTGTGTCTCAAGGTGGTTAACTCACCAACTGACCTTTTTGACATATGATGATTGTTTACCAAGCATTATGTGTGTCGAAGAAGATGAATTATTTATAATGAAGCATAAATGCTCATGACAAACCAGCAGTAAGCAAGACAATATTTATAATCCACATTTTTATAATTTATAGCGCAAGTTACTGCACAGAGAGGCCTGCATTTCTGAAAATCATGGGTGGTAAACATTTTAAAGCACATTAAAAAGCATATTCCTTCAATGTATTGCGCTTCATAAAAAGTTGAAAATTCAACATCACTGACATTTCTAAAATGCAAATAGAGCTGCTGCATCTGATTCATTTCGTTTTTTTTATTCTGCTGCAAGTAGCGGGGTGGAATAGTGACACCATACTTGGTGATTTATGCTCTCCAAAAAAGAAAACTTTGACATACATAAGCCTTTCATTCTTCTCTAAGTGTTTCAGACTTTCTGGTGAATATAAAAATGAAATTCGGAAATCTGAAACTGATTTCCAACTGGGTCACTGCCTCCATGCGCAACTGAACAGGGATAATTGGACATTCATATTCCTTTCCCTAAATGCATTTTTGACAGGCCTTTCCCAAGGCTCACCACTAGAGGGTAAAAGTCCTTCACTCATTCACTCGGTTTATTCCTGATACTCACATATGACCTACAAATCAGCAGCAGCAGCAGGCAGAAGGGAGGGAACAGAGAATGAGGGGCTTGGGATTCAGCATTCCCAAAATGTTCATTTTATCCTAACACTATTGTACAAAACCTCCTGCTTCTTCTCTTAGTAACAGTAGCATCTGTACTGTATGTAGCAAACATATTTTTAGATACATATCATTTGGCCACAACGGAAGTCCAATTCATGTATATTCAGAATTAATGTCCCTCCCTGAAAAGCATACAATTTGACCTCAAATTATGCAATTGAAAAAGAGAAATGCATAATCTTTTAAAACATGGTTAATGTATCTAAATGATCTTAACATCTAAAAATTGGATTATACAAATCATTACTACATTACATTTTGTGCAGATATTCAAAGTAGTATTCTAGTGAATTTCATATTACAAGAGGCCTAGTCAAATCTTTGGTAATCCTTCAAAATAATTTATAAAATAGCAGCATCATCAGGACAAGATTGATATGTCTAATACTTTCTTTAATAAACGAATAATACTGAGCTAAAAAAACAATGACCCTCCCATCACCCTTGGCTGTACTTCAGGTACACTCATCAGCCAA